TCATGTTCTAGCTATGAAAGTTCAAGTTACAGCGAAAACACCTCCACAGAAACACCCAAAAAAAGCATCTGGAAAACGACCTGGAAAAAGATAAAGAAGTTCTTTTCAAGGATTTTCAAGGCCCAAGAGGAGAAGAGCGACTTTTGAAAATTCTGTTTAATGAATTTTGTATATGATGTTGAATAACCAGAGTCAGAATCAGAATTTAATTTATTGTTCAGCTATTTGTGAACAGAAGGAATTTGATGTGATGAAAAGAGTGGGGTTTTGTTTACATATATGGTCTCCATGGAAGCAGAATTTTCAGCGGTGATATCATGCCTGTGGGTGCCTGCCTGCCTCCCACGCCCGGGTGTGTGTGTGCGTGTGTGCCTGCCTGCCTCCCACGCACGGGTGTGTGTGTGCATGCGTGCCTGCCTGCCTGCCTCCCACACCCGGTTGTGTGTGTTCGTGTGTGCGTGCCTGCCTGCCTCCCACGCCCGGGTGTGTGTGTGCGTGTGTGCCTGCCTGCCTCCCACGCCCGGGTGTGTGTGTTCGTGTGTGCGTGCCTGCCTGCCTCCCACGCCCGGGTGTGTGTGTGCGTGCGTGCTTGCCTGCCTGCCTCCCACACCCGGGTGTGTGTGTTCGTGCGTGGGTGCCTGCCTGCCTCCCACGCCCGGGTGTGTGTGCGTGCGTGCATGCGTGCGTGCCTGCCTGCCTCCCACACCCAGGTGTGTGTGTGTGCGTGCGTGGGTGCCTGCCTGCCTGCCTCCCACGCCTGGTTGTGTGTGTGCGTGCCTGCCTGCCTGACTCCCATTGTGTGTTGTGTCTGTCCTCCGCTGTGTGTTGTGTTAAATGTGGACACTGACAGTCAGTTACAGTCATGGGTTTAAATCACCTCCTCCTTTGAATCGTCACCTTACCGTGGTGGAGGAGTTTGTGTGCCTGAATAATCCTAGGAGCTATACAATAGAAAATGCCCCTGGTGGGGTCTCCAAAGGCACATTAGGTAACAGGCCAGACAAAGAACGATTCAAAACCAAAACCCAACGAATAAAAATGAGTTTTAAGTGAAGCTTAAGACATCAAGGATGAAAAGTTAATTTAAATGAAAAAACCTTGACTGCATCTTATTTTAAAGTCAGTCCTTCTGTGTATTTCTCAGCATGTTTAGTCTGAGATTAATCCCATGAACACAAAACATTTGTTTATTGTCCTCCATGTGTTAAAACCCGTACCTTGAGGCTGCAGCGCCTCAGTTGACCTAAATCCAACCTGCAGCAAAAAAGACTTTATGGTGATGATCGGTAGATTAATTACAAACATAAAACCCAGATGAAAGATTTTTATTGTTGCCGGTGAAAAATGTGGATTAACCCAAGCTGCCACTAGAGGGATTGTGTTCATAGTTTATGAAGTCATAAAAAAAAAGGAAATATGCAGTTTTTAAAGTAAAAATCTGTTTCAGGCCTGATGAATCACTTTGATTAATGTTTATCAAGAAGATGATAAATTAATTTCTTAATTGGCTACAAAAGAAAATAATTAGTTTTTATCAAAGTTAAAACAATTTATTCTTTATAAATATTAAATATATACATCTGGGCGATATGTATTATCAAAATATGATGTAGTCCGTAAAGTTTTTGATACTTTTTTATGGCTTTGTGGAAGTTTTGTAGCTCTTTGTGAATCACTCATTTTAATGAGTTCCATCATCAAAACAAATATTTGTTTTTTTATAAATGACTCATTCAATCTTTTCTATTTCTCTTTCCAAGATAATTTGCTTCAGTCAGTGTAACTCCAGTGTTTTTATGAAGTTGAACATTATTAAAATTTATATACATTTAAACAGGATGGTTTTGCGGTGATGCACACTTCTTCACGCCACATCTGTCCTTTTTTAATTGAACGTTCAGCTAACCTCTGCTTGGGGTGCTTTAACTGGTTACAGACGTGGGGTCATGTCTGCTTTGAATGTTGTTAATAAAACAGAATTGCTTCATTGGGCCAGCAACATGACAGAAACACCGCAGAAGAGGAGTAATCGTTTATAGCCTCACGTGTCAGGATGCATCAGCGTCTGCATGAAAGTGAGCCTCTGTGGAGGGRAGGATCATGAAACGCGATGCAAATCTGGAACCAGCTGAGAGCGGTAGGTGGACGAGAACCGGCGATGCGATGAGGACTCTCAGAACGATGAGGAGCTGGCCCCGCTCAGCTTCATCTAATGGGAGTGAAAAGGATGATGGGTAAAGGCAGAAGGGTTCTGAAGATGATCAAGCGATCTATTTTTGACTTGTCTGTCTGATGCGTTGAGTTGTGACTCACGTTGACCACAGGAAGAAGTGGAATAACAGAGCTCTGAGGAAACTGGGCTCAAGCTGTCCCTCTCACCTATATTCAATTTGTTTTTATGATACAGGATTTATACACAAGGACATAAATCACTCAGGAAATTTGAGTAAACCTAAAATCCTCTCTTAGAACTGCAACTCCAAGTTTTGACTGCAACGCCGTGTTTGACCAAGAGTACAAAATCCAAAGATTAGGACTTCAGTAAATCAGATTAATGCTCTCAGACAAGAAGCTGAAACTGGTGACTTGTTTGCATTTTTTCCCCCCAGGAACAAATATCAACGAGATTAACTATTTCAACTTTAAAGGTTCTAATTCAGTTATGTTTCACGCCATTTAGAGAGCAGCAGAAGACTAATTCACAAATCAATGTAATTTTAACACAAAAAATTATGTTTTGGGGCAATTTTTGTCCATTTTCAAGGAAAAAGGGCAGCTGTCTAAACAAATGAAGTCAATGCTGAAGCATACAGTGTGCAAATATAAGAAAGCAATGTATTGTTATAGATAGATATTTTATAGGTAAAGTTTTAACCAGTTGAAGTCCTGTTTTCAGGAGGCTGACATGATGTTATACAACAGCAGTCAATGAACAACATGTGTGAGTAGGATCCAGTGTACCGGCTGACCCGCAGCTGTCATGCAAACATTCAGAGATTAAAGTGCAGCAAGACTTCTCCCTCTGCTCCTAATTCTGAGTACGGTCCAAGAAAACATGACCCTGGGAAAAAAGCCCTCCTTTTGAACAATCTCTTAATTATTTAGCTGTAATAAATCCTATTTTTGCTAATGGGTCAATAGAAATTAAATTATAGACAAGTTGCTCACCACAAATCAAACAATTTCAACCCATAACCTACTAGTCAAGGGCTAGGGATGTCCCAATTCATTTTGCAAGTTGTTTTCAAATGGTGCACTAAAGGGAACCCTGACTAGTAACATTAGACGTTATTCAATAAGCATTTTCTTCAACTATAAAAATATGACTGTAAAAATATTGTAAGCTGCTTAGTTTTTATAAATAAATAAACATATTGTCACACAGACAGGGCCGTGTTATTTACTCCGTAAAGCATTCTGGGTAAATGATGACCCTTTGGTCCCTTCGGTGTGAGCTCCGTCCAGTTTGAAGGTTACTCTTGGACAATTTCTGACAATCTCTGTCAATCAATTATTTTACTTTAGCTTCTAAGCTAATACACAAACACATATGACAATACGGCATTTGTTTTAAGCTAATAGCTAATGCTATATTATCATATATACATAAACGTATTGGCTTAGGAGCGAACACCACATATTTATTAGTAATTAGTAACACATATATTACTAATAAATATGTGGCATTAGCTAGCTCCCAAGCAAATAATGTTAGCTCGGGAGCTAATGAGCTGTCCGTTTGAAAATATATATACTTTTAATTTATAGAAAAATTATTAAACAACCTACAGTATTTTTTTAGTCTTGTTTTTATAGTTGAAGTAAATTTTTATCAACCAATGTCCCATTTTAAAGGGGTGGATGGAGGGTATTAAGTATTTTCTAAGAACATAATTCAATTCTATATCACAATCTATATATATACGTATACACACACACACACACACACACA